CCCGTGGCAGCTGATTCTGCTCTGCCTTCGGCCAGGGCCTCCCCCCCCCCCCCCAACTGCATCTCCTCGCCGGTTTCAACTTATCCAAAAAGATTGAAAACCCCTTATATAGGTGGTTTGACAGCATTCTGATAGGCAGTCTGATTTGCTGCCATTGATCCTTTTTCTGGGAATGTGACTTGGTTTAATGTTAAGTGCCCTTGAGACTTGTTACTGAAAGTATACATTTTTGCCTCAACATTCTGAAGTATAGTCTTTCTCCACTAGATGGTAGTAAAGAAATCAGATTCCCTCAGGTTGAGAGTTTTACTGTTAACTTTCCTTTGGTGATGGGGTTTCATTTATGTCCGTTTTTATAAAAGCTTTTCCAGATAGCTTTGTATATTTAACAAACCCAAAATATTGTTTCTTACATGCAATTTTTAAAATAGTTTTTGGAGATAATTTAATAATAGCTATATAAATAATTGGTGATTCAGTGGATAAATTAAGCTTTTATAGTACTCTGATGCTGATCACACTGAACTAATGTAACTGTGCCACTGATATAGTATAGGCCAAATGGAACTTTTATATCAATTCAACTGATAGGTACTGTTGAGTAGGAAATACTTTGGTATAATATTGTATGGGTCCATAGTTTTAGGAGGCAACTTCGTTATGTTACATGTAGTATCCTATAATAGTGTTAAAATTGGTTTGCTTCTGCTATGGCCTTGAACTTGCAATTTCTGGGCTGTCAACTGTGCACCTTAATGCCTGTGCCACTCCAGCTCCCCTATTGTAAAGTACAAAAAAGAGCGCCTTCTTCCAAAAGAACACTATTAAATCAGCCTGAGAGCACAGTGTTGCAAGTTCTTACATTCAATTTGTGCTTACTAATGTATCTCTTTTTTTTAGACTGAATTATGCAAAACTGTAAATGTTGTCTTGTATTTCAGTTTTACATTGCTATAGGCCAGCAAAATGGTAAAACTTAAGCCCCTGATCCTGCAAATGCTTGAACAGGCAAGCATTTCAGCTTGTGAACCCTAAGTTCTCAAGTATAAATGGTCCCAGTGACTTCAGTGAAACTACTTGTGTGCTTCATTTTAAACAGGTTTGCACTATAAAAGGCTAATATTATATTTAAAAATATTTTAATGGTTCTTCCTGGGATAAAACCTATGTTGTATGAAAACAGTTCACACCCACAAAAAATCATTATATTTTTCAGTCCTTTTAAGAAGGTTATTGTGAACTTTATGGGCAAAGACTATAAAAATAGGAACCTGAAAATTAGGTTCAGCCTTTTAAAAACAACAAGATGACTTTTTGCAACCAATGAGACTTGTTTTACTAAGTTGCAAACTTGAGTAGGGGTGGCAAAAAGTGCAGGTTCTTGGAAGCATTTCAGTGTTTCTGATTTGTAGAATTGACAGTTTTGGAAGGTGGTGCTAGCAAATAGTGCTCAGGCTGTTTAGTTACCACTTGTGTTTCTCTGATTTATTGTTCTTACAGAAATAACGTTAATGAGGCCCTAGAGCTTTCTCTCATAAATGAGATTTTAAGCATTACACTTTTAGAAAGAAACCTCTACCCTTAACTTTTTTGAAAAATTCAGAGTGGGATGATGTTATTGCAGTTTATTCAATGTTCTCAGAATTGATTCCTCTTCCCAAAACACAAATGCAGATAACCACAACTTGGGTAGGAACTTCAGTATTTATTTTCACCAGCTTCTGTTACAACATGTGATGCTTTGGTTTCTGTTTGACCTTTCCCTCCCAAAGTTTTGAAAATGAAGACCCTCATTCTACTAAGATTTATGCCAGATAAATGACTTTGCTTTTGTTACTTTTTAATGTTGGATTGAATTAATTTGTTTTTTGTATTCTTTTCAGAACAAGGCTCAGGAAGGAAATCAGTTTAATGGAGACCTCATTCAAAGGCAAAACTTTCAGAGGTACTGTCTTTTTGTCACTAGTGTTTGTTTAGAAATGCAGTGAACATAAATGCAAAGGGGATCTCTGAGTTGAATTAATTTGCATATACTTAGGTCTGACCATGTTTCATATTTTATCAACATGGAAAAGCTAAAGGGTTTTTTTTTGTTAGTTAGAATGAATAGGAGTATTGACCTGATCTCCAAGCCAGAAAGGAAGGTATCGTCTTCTGGCTAGTGTACAGATGACAGAAGTTAATTACCATTGGCCTTTTTAGTCATATCAGAGTTGATTTGAGTAAGTGGGGAATTACCAGAGGCTATCAAATTGAATGTTTGGGGTATAGCAGTCTATGGAGAGCTCTGTAAACTGGAATGGTGATTTTGAATTTATTAATGGCTTCAAGACATAGTGTGCTGGAGTAGGATATGTGGTTCTATTAATTGCAGCATTATACATATTTGGGCTTTTTTGAATTTAGCGAATAGGAGTTGAATTTTATTGCATTTACTATTGAGCAGCCAACATGAGATCATGAAGCTTTTATTCAGGAGTTGGTTTCCTTGGCTAATTTCTTCTGAATTATTGGGTTGGGGTATTAGGTAAGTAAGTAAAGTATCTGAATGAGGGAGCATAGGATAGCAGGGAGATTGTGATGTCTGAGGACAGGTGGCAGTAGAAAAAGGATACTGAACATCCTCTAGAGCCATGCTGATGACAAGGTAAGAAAATAAGTGCTATACTGCAGCAGACTAATGGTTTCCCACCCAGTAGCCTGTTTCTGACAGTGGCAGAAGAGGATGCTAGAGATCAGTGCTTTTCAACCACTGTGCTGTGAAGAGCTCCCTAGTGTGCTGCAGGAATTTCAGAACTGCTGGTAGTTGTTTGTGAAGGAGAAGTACTTTATTTCGGGTATAAAGGTTATTTACTTAAAGCTAATGTAGAAATGAATCTACTGCACATGTGTTGGCTGCGGGGGACATGCAGTTCACAAGCCTCTCGGCTTTCAGTTCATGCCATTCATTTCAGTGCATGGTGCCCTCAGGCTTGAGTGCAGCTTGTAACATACGTACTGTGTGTGTGCTTCTTCTGCTTTTACTTTTATGTGGCCAGAGTGCTCTCATAGTATTCAGTCTTTGTGTCAGTTTCCATTTTTAAAAATGGAGAAATTCTTGAAGAAGATCTCTTCATATGAAGTTTCATGTAGCAACTCTGCGTAAAGAGAACCTTCAGTTAAGAAGATGAAGTCACTGACCAGGCAGTGTAATGAAGACTACTTGGAATTTGTTTTTTTCTGGTGTGGTGTCACTTCATCTCCTATGCCCAAGAGCTTAATGTGCAGAGAAAAATTATCAAATGAATCTATGGTCCCAAGTAAGCTGAAACACCACCTTTCTACTAGGCACCTAACTTACATAAACAAAGGCAGGGACTTTTTTTAAGAGGTTGCAGAAAGAAAATGCAAAGCAGAGTAACCTTATGAGAGAAACTTTCATCAGAAATAAACAGGTGTGCTATGGGGATGGGGAATACCTTAACAAGGATACCGTAAAAAACTTTTATTAATGTAAACGTGCCTTGGGGTGGACAAGGTTGGGAAATACTGCTGTAGATGGAGACCATCTAACCAGATATCTCTAGAGTGATCTATCCCTTTTCAGTACCCTCCCTAGTATCCACCATTTATTTGGCTAGGGATGCCAGAGGAAACACTTTCATCTATTCTGTTTACTAGCCATTAGTAGATCTATCATCTGTGAATTTATCCAGTCTCTTTTAAATCCTGGCTATGCTATCTGCCTTGCCTACCTCCTATGGCAGTGAATTCTAGAAGTTAACTACATGTGTAAAAGAAGTACTTTATCTTGTTAGTTTTTAAATCTGTTGCCCACTAATTTCAGTGGGTGCCCCCTTGTTCTAGTATTCTGGGACTTGGTGAACAACAGTTCCCTGTTTATTTGGTCTACCCCCTTCTTGATTTTTATAGACCTCTATCATATCCCCCATCTACCATCTCCTTTCCAAACTGAAGAATTCTAGCTTTTTTAGACTTTAGATTTTTAGCTCCAGGCTCCTGATGGTTTTGGTAGTCTTTCTTTGTACCTTTTCTAATTCTACTACATCCTGTTTGAGACGTGGGGACTACAGTGCCACACAGTATTCAAGATGTGGGCATATCACACGATCATGTTGACCGTTTTGCTTTCAGTTCCATTCTTAATGACGCCCAACATCTTACTGTTTGTTCCTGGTTACCACCGCACACTGAGCTGAGTGCAGTGACTCTAAGGTTTCTTTCAGAAGTTGTAACAGCTAGTTCAGAATCCAGCATTGTGTATGTATAGTTTGAGGTTATTTTTCCCTAGGTGTGTTACCTTGCACTTGTCAACGTTACATTCATCTGCCATTTTTTCGGTTCTTTCGCTTAGCTTGGTGAGATCTTTCTGCAGCTTCTTTCCATCAGCTTCAGACTTGACTACATGGAAATAAATGGGTATCATCTGGAAACTAGAAAGGATTGAGCTGGCATGAGAATTTCTTCAGTATCATCTGTGGTAAACGTTGATGCAAAAGATTCGTTCAGCTTCTCTGCTGTGGCCCTATCATCTCTGAGTGCACCTTTTGCACCATGGTGGTCAAATGGTCCCACTGATCCTGTAGCTGGCTTCCTGCTTCTGATGTATTTAAAAAAAGTTAAGGAAAAGATGAGGGAAAAATGTCATCAGTGGTAACAGTAAACAAAACATTCTTTATGTCTGTGTCAGTGATGTACAAAACACTGTGGCTGCTGAGCACAGCACAAGTTACAGGTGTGTGATGATCGTGTTATGCAGCACTGAGAGCCACCCATAGTCTGCCATTTAGTTTTATCAAAAAGGTAAAACCAACTTTTGAGCAAAAGGAAAAGCATCTTGCTCTATACATAAAGCCAGAATTTTGCATCTAGAAATCTTCATCTCAAAAGTGGGAGACACAGAGGATGTTAACTAGATGCTCTTGGTTAACTAGACTCCATGTGAATAGTAGGCTTTATAGAGATGAACATCGTGCATCATCCTGGGAAATGGACTGAAGCCAGTGTGCATGCTTGCCATAATGCACTGATGGTAACCGGTTCTATAAAAAAAAAAAAAAAAAAAAAAAAAAAAAAGGGGGGGGGGGGTGAGTTGCTACATTTTACATTGGCTGAATCTTAAATGACTTTTGTGGTTAACCCTGTAAGGAACACATTATGGTAATTTAGGATGTAGATTAAGAGGCCTGAGACATTTTCTGACTGTTCCTATCCTTTCCAGAGACCAGAGTAGATGCTTGAAGGCATTAAAAGAGTGAAGGGATCTCATTCAGTGTAGCAGTAATAGGTGTCAGGAGATCTGAATCTTTTTTTTCAGTGCTACAGAAGCAGCTGTTGATGAAAGTGTACTGCTATCAAGTGTTGCAGTTTACTGCATTAGTGGGTAATCTGTGGCACTTTGATACCTTCAGGATGGATTTTTGCAGAATGGAAGTAGCTAGTAGTGAATATAGAAACCCATCCTATTCTTACTTCTGCCAGTCTGTACTATGTTGATCATCTGCAGCAAGTTGGGGGAAAAATGGAAAATCTAAATGATTGCTTTTATTCACTCAAAAAAAAGTAATGGTCGATCTCTTGAAAAATGTTGGCAAATCAGAAAAATGTTTTGGCCATTGAAACAGGAAAAGTTATCAGGCTTATATTACCAATCTTAAACTCTGTGCTGCTCAGATGGGTGTGATACTTATGATTGACTGATTGATTGATTTGATTTGTGGGCTTGAGTTAAAAAAAAATAATTTGGAAAATGTTCTTTAAAAAATGTT